AGAATTTTTAATGGTCTGATGTATAGTGTTTATGTTCTATGTACACTTGAGAATGTGTTGCTGCTGCATTGGGTGAAGTGTTTTATGTATTCTTTAGTCTTTAGGTTGCTATAAAAAAAAAAATACTTCAGCAGTAAGGGAGAAAGCTCAGAGGTAGCCTGCCTAGCATGTATAAAACTATGAGTTCAGTCCCCAGAATCTACCCCCCAACCCAAAAAACTCCAAACAAAACCTTAGACTGGTAATTTATAATAGAAATTTATTGCTCACAGTTTTGGAAGCTAGAAAGTTTAAGATCAAAGTACTAACAGATTCACTGTCTGATGAGGGCTTGTTCCTCAGAAATGGTGCCTTCTTTGTGTCCCAAAGTGGCAGAATGGCAAGAAAAGGGGCAACCAAACTCTCAGCCCTTAATCCTATTCACAAGGATTCTGCCCTAATGACCTAATCATCTCCCCAAAGCTCCACCTATTAACACCAATATATTAGGGTTTAGATTTCAGATATGAACTTCAGAGGAGTACAAATACCAGATGATGACAATGTCTGTTAGGTCCAGTTGGCTTGTAGCATTGCTCAAGTCTTCTGTTTTCTTGCTGGGTTGGGTGGTTCACACTTACAATTCCAGTATTTGGGAGGCTGAAGCAGGAAGAGTGCTTCTGTTTTCTTAATGATCGTCTGTCTAGATGTTCTACCCATTTTTTTGGAATTAGGGTACTGGAGTCTCCAATTATTACTATACAACTATTTCTCCCTTCAAATCTGTTTGTTTCATGTATTTTGAGGCTCTTTTCTTAGTATTCATGTTTATAACTGCCATATCTTAATAAACCTACCCTTTTATTAAAATATAATGTCTCTCTTATACCAGGTTTTGGATTTGTCTGGTATTACAGTACAGTCATCTCAGCTCCTCTTGGGTTTCTATTCGCATGGAATATTTTTTCCACCTTTCACTTTATTTTGTTTTTTTTGATCCAGGATCTCACTATGTAGTTGAGACTGACCTGGAACTCACTGTGTAGCCCAGGCTGGTCTCGAACTCACAGAGATCCTCCTGCCTCAGCCTCCTGAGTGCTGTGATTACAGGAGCGTGCCACCACACCCAGCTTCCACCTTTCACTTTAAACTTGTGTCTATATATCTCTTACATACAGTATATATTTGAACAATGCTTACTTATATATTGTTAATATCTGTCTTTTGACTAGAAAGTTTAATCCATTTACATTTAAAGTAATTACCGAAAAAGTAGGACCTCTACCATACTGCTATTTGTTTTGGGTGTATCTTTCATCTTTTTATTCCTCAACTCCTCTACTATTACCTTCTTTTGTATTTAGTTGACTTTTTTGTAATGTGGCATTATAATTTTCTCCTTGCTTCATTTTGTATACATTTGTTAGATATTTTCATAGTGTTTACTATGGAGATTACAATGAGTATCTTAATATCCTAAAACAGTTGACACCAATTTACCCTTAGTAGCACACAAAATTCTTCTCATATAGCTATTACTTCTATGATTTGTTGTCATCATAGGCTACATCTTTATAATAAATAGTGAGATCAAAAACACTGACTTACTGGGCTCAGCAGGGGGAGCTCAGTGGTAGAGCATATGCCTGGCAGGCTCTGGATTTAATTTCCACACTAAAAAACCAAACCAAGTCAGAACATACTTATTGTTTTTTGTTGTTGTTTTTGGCACTGGAAATCAAATTGAGGACCTTGCGCTTGCCGGGCAGGTGCTGTGCCACTGAGCTAAATCCCCAGCAGAAAACAGACATTACTTTTTATGCACTTGTTTTTTAATTTATGTATAAAATAAATACTGAATTCATATACCAAAAATACAACACAAACTTTTATACTTACCTATGTAATTACCTTTATCAGAGGTCTTTATTTCTTTGTATGGCTTTGAGTCTCTGTCTACTGTTCTTTCATTTCAATCTTTAAGATTCCCTTTAACATTTCTTATAGGAAAGGTGTATTCATAATAAATCTCAAGATTTGTCTATCTGGGAATGTCTGAATTTCTCTTTCTTTCTTTTTTGGTACTGGGGATTGAACTTGGGTCCTTGCGCTTGCAAGGCAGGCCAACAAACCACTGAGCTAAATCCCCGGCCCTTTCTCTTTCATTTTTTATTTTGGTACCAGGGATTGATCTCTTTCATTTTTGAAGGATAGTTTTACCACATATATAATTCTTGCCTGACAGGTTTTCCTCATAGCATTTTTTTTTGTTTGTTTTGTTTTTGTTTTTTTGAGACATGGTCTCACTATGTAGTTGAAACTGACCTGGAACTCACTATGTAGCCCAGGCTGGTCTCAGCTTATAGTGATCCTCCTGTCTCAGCCTCCCGAGTGCTGGGTTTACAGGTGTGCACCACCACGACCATCTCAAAGCATTTTAAATATGTCATCCCATTGTCTTCTGACATCCATTTTTTTTTTTTCCTCAGGAAAATCAGCTCCTAATCTTGTTGGGATTCATTGTACTAGATGAGGCACTTTCTCTCTTATTGCACTCAAGATTAATTATAATGAAACTTGGTGTAAGTTTCATCTTTACACTACTCAAGTTTGCTGAGCTTCTTGGATATAGATTCATGTCTTGCATCAAATTTGAGGATTTTCGGCCATTATATCTTCAAATAGTCTTACTACCCATCTCTCTCATGTCTTACTTGCCCCCCCATTATGTATATCCGTCTGCTTCACGGAGTCCCACAGATCCATTGTTTGTTCACTTTTCTTGAAACTTTTTTCTTTTTGCTCCTCACACTAAACAATTCCAACCATCCTAACTTAAAGTTTGCTAATTCTTTCTTCTTCCTGCTCAAATCTGCTGTGGAAACCTTGTACTAAAATATTTTAATGTACTTTTTCACTCTGGAATTTCTAGTTGGTTCATTTTTATAATTTGTGTTTCTTTAGTGATAGTCTGGATTTGTTCATACATTTTATTTTTCTGGTTCCTTTAGTTCTCTCTTAATAGTTTCATTTCAGCTTTCTTAGTGTATTTAAGACAGGTGATTTGAAGTCTTTGTCTACTAAGTCCAAGGTCTGTTTTTCAGGAACCCTTTTTACCAATTTATTTTTTCTTTTGAATGGGTCATATGTTCCTGCTTCTTTGTATGTTTTGTAATTTTGCTAAGAACTGGATATTTGAATATTATTCTGTGGTGACTCAGTAAATACATTTACTCTTTTAGATTGTTGAAGGCTACTGTCATCTATTCATGTAGTGTGTTTTCCAGATTATTTTTGCAAAGGCTATTCTTTGTTGGGTACACTGTCACTACAAATTACATATAGCAGGGGCTGTTTCTTTAGCTTGTTTTCCACTATTATTTTTTTGTTCATTTGCTTGTTGTGGTGCATGTGCATGTATGTGTGTGCTTGTGCACACGTGTATATAGTGCTGGGGATTGAATCTAGGGCCTTGCACATCAAGAACAAAAGGAAAACAAAACACCTTTCCCAGTCTGTGGACAAGTATGATCCTAGGGTCTGCCTTTAATATTGTTTACAACATCTCCTCCATTCCTAGCTTTCAACAAGCTTAGACACCAGCCAAAGGTGAAAGCTTACAATCATCATAGGTCTTTTCCAAACTGACACCTGATCCTAGGCATAAGTTTGACTTTCTAAATTTCTCAATTGTGCTTATGAAGGCACATTTTCCCTCATGTCTCTTCCTAGGCTGTGGATGGCTGGCTGTATGTATAAATGATGCCCCAGGTCCATTCTCAGATAGGCAGAACAGAGATGTGTAGTGTGTATCAGTTCTTCAAGTAGCCTCATTTAGTTTAGAACAGATACAGAGGAAGATCTCTGCTCCCTCTGCAACCAGAGACCATGTCCCACACTGGGAATGCAGGCTGATTGCTTTAGGAGTGCCAATAAGGCAGAAAGGAATTAGGGCATAGGCAAGTAGGACTGCAAAGCTTTCTTATTTTAAAATTCCCTTCTTGACTTAATGTTTGTTTGGTTGCCATAGACCATTGACAATTTTCCAAATTTCTGAAAAAGTTGGTTCTGATAGGTTCCACTTGGTGGTTCATTTGCTTTAATATTTATATGGAATAACAGGTATTTGGAGTTGCCTACTCTGCCAATTTGCTCCACGATGCTTTTAAAACATGAATACTCATCAGTTTGTTTTAATTTCTAACAGAATCCTAGATACCTTCAACATTCCTAGTAGGAGCCCCTTGGATACTTGTTTAATATTCTCTCTGGGGCCAGGGATTTAGCTCAGTGGTTCCAGTGCCTGCCTTGCAAACACAAGGACCCGAGTTCAATCCCTGGTACCAAAACAAAAAAACAAACAAACAAACAAAAAAAATCTCTGCTTAGGCTGGTCAGCAAGCCTATTTTGCAGGGCCATTTCTGGGGACCTTATCATGTGTTATCCTCTACCTGCTTTCTCTTTCCACTGTCCAGAATTTGCTTTGTCGGACACACATTGGCTATCTTGCACCATCTCTACCCTTAGCCTAACCATTCCTGCTCACACATGGTCTGAGCAGAATGTCCCCTTGTACAACAGCAGCTGTCTGACCCAAGCCGGGGAACCCAACACTGAATAGTCATCCTGTTCATTACTGAAGGGTCCAAATGGGTGAGCTGGTGAAGAATCTTTGTGAAGGATTCTCTGAAAGGGTTCAGAGGGAGTAAGATCAAATGGGCTGTAAATGTAGCTAGAAGGGAGCAGGACAGACCTATCAGCCTAGTTGTTGGGCTTGGCAGGGGTCAGAGGGCAAAGCAAAGGACCGTGGCAATCATCACATTACAACACTGTGTCAAAGGGTTAACAATCCCTATTAAGAGCACCAGAGGCTAGGCCATGTCAACTTCCTTTCTGAGACCCAGCCTTGGTCCCTTGAGTCCATGAGGCATGATATAGAAGAGGCCTCCTAGAATGAGCACAAGGTGCTGTATGTATCTCCCCAGAATGAGGGTACCAGTGGGGAACCTGTTCTCAGTACCTGGCTGCTGAAGATGAGGGCAGATGGTTTCCAGTTCAACAGTGCCACAGATGAGGGGCCTGTAGATTGGAGATCCAGGGCGGGTCACAACAGGAGCATCACTCACACAAGCCTGTGCTGCAGGGGTCCAAGGGGATGGTTCTGGAGCTGAGGATTCCATCTCTGACTCCTTGGGGCAAACTCTGAGGCTGGGCATAGCTGGGACCTAAAGACCAGCAAGGACACAGGTCAGTGTGTGGAAAGGCTAGCTCCATTCTCCTCCTGTCAGAAATTTCTTCTGCTCCTACAGCCTGATACTTGAAAAGGGTCTGGTATTGTCAAGTATCAGGGACTAATGCTATGTTCCCTGAATCTGGATCAAAGTGGCGGGATAGTCAGCCACAGAGACACAGAATCATGAGCCAGGATTACAGGCAGAAAGAGTGAAATGCTGACCCTCCAGGCAGAGTGAGTGTCTTGTGCATAGGAACCCCCTAAGGGGGTCAAGCCCATCGTGATAGCAGAGTAGCCTTCACAGTGTCTGCTTCCTGCTGTGGGTCTGCCTCTCAATCCTGGTTCCCGACACAATGCTATGAAGCAGAATGCACAAGACACATTTACAAAAGAGGAACAATACCCGCAAAGGTTGAGCAGCCAAGGGCAGCCCACTTTGTGGACAACATACAGTCACATGGAATACTGTTTGCCATTGTTGACAATCCAAGTAGTAGAGTCTATATGAGTTGCACCCGGCAGCAGCCAAAGCAGGTGTCCCTGTCTCCACGCTCCTGGGATGCCCACCCATTGTACCAGCTGCTCTCCCTTTCTCTCATCTCCCTGTATATACTGATGCCAAAGGTTCATTTCCATACCTATACCAACTTGTTTGGTGATTTTGTCCAGTCTACAAGTAGCAACATCCCTTATCCTGTAAAGACTCCCAAATTTGGCTCATCTCCTGTCTTAGCCTACTCTCTGGGGAGAAGATGGGACACTTCCACCTGAAGGCACAAGGGCTCTTCACATGGACTGAGTTACTGACTGTCCAACCCTCTCCCTAGACTCACCCTGCCCAGTAACCACCAGAGAGCAGGGCCTGACATATTCCAGCCTTCCCCCGTGTGCTCTCCCAAAAGATACCTCTGCTCCTCAACAGTAAAGACAAAGCAAGAAATGTTAGCAGAAATCCACAGTGAAAAGTGTCAGTCAACCTATAGACCAAATTTATTCTCCAGGATACACATTTTTTAGTGTTTCCTATAAGCTGATATGTATCCTGGGTAGACTATGGGACAAAGCAGTGACTATTGGCCCTCCTGGAGCTCACTATGGTAAAAAATCATAACAAATGCATCAGTGAGCTGGGCAATTGCTTTTGAAAGAGGCAGCAGGGGCATTTTAACTAGGTTATTCAGGGTAGGCCTCACTGAGAAACCTAAAGGTAAAGGAAGCAAAGAGTTATGCAGATACTAGGGAAAGGAAGTACAAGGCAGAAGCAGAGTGTAAAGGCTGAGGAAAGAAGGGGCAAGTAGGCCAGGCCCAAGGAGTCATGGGGCAGCCAATGTGGACAAAAAAGTGAAAGAGCAGGGCACAACCTGATAGGCACTGTATTGCATCTCACACATCTTGCAGTGGGAGTGCTGCCTGCACTCTGTGAAATGCAGGTCTACAGCACAGACTTCTGAAGGTTCCAGGTATTTAAAAGGATTACAGGGAAGCAGCCTCGCCCTATCCTGTGAAGGAGCACAAACTCAGCCCAGATGTAGTCAGTATCTTTGGCCAGCAGTCTCTGGCCTGGTGGAGGGATCTTTTCCACTTCAGGTTTAGATGAAGTCAAGGGGGATATCAGAAGGTAGTGGCAGTTCCACCTGCTCAGTGAAGTGTAGTCAAGGTGATCTGGAAAGGAGCTGAGGAGTGGTTGTATTGTAGAAAGGTGGCAGGAATAATGGTAAGGCATCACCCACGGGCTCCTTGGACAAGGCAGAGGGGCTGGGTTGGGCTGCTAGAGTGAGATCATGGAAGAACCCACAATTAGTAGTCTGAATGAGAAGGTCTAAGAATAAGTGTAGGGTCAAAGCTTGAAGGAGATGGCAAATACAGAGCTCAGAGGGATGGGCACTGAGGACAGATTATAAGAGACCTTTGGCTGCACTTTTATATCAGAGACAAAACAAAACATCTCAAAAGATTAACCTGGCAGGGTGCTCAGAAATATGGTGTTGGATGAGACTGAAAGCAGAGAAAATACTCAGGAGCTCATTCATGTCCAGCAGAAATAGATCAAGAGACATGGTGTGTGTATGTCTGTGTGGGGAGGCTTCCCAGTATCCATATGGAAAATCTTTACTCTCCCTTTCCATGGGTAGACTCAGTCACTTCCATGTTTTGATTCAGAACGTTTTATTTTAAAAGATTTCTAGTTCTCATCATTATTACTGAACAGGGGCAGAATCATATAGTTCAAAACTTAGAAGGTGAGGGCTGGGGTGTGTGGTTCAGTGGTAAAGAGCTTGCCTAGCATGCACAAGATCCTGGATTCTGACTTGAGTGGGAGGGAGCTTAAAAGGTTAACAAAACCTCCCAACCAGGCCCTTGGTTCCTCTTCCCAGTTTCTGGTTATCCTTCCACATTTACAAAAGCAAATGTACATATACTTTTTTAAATTATAAATTGTGCAAACTATGCACTTGCTTCACATCTTGTTTTTCTCACCTCATTCTCTGTAGTACCTTGACCAGAGAACATAAACTTAATCTGTGGTAAGCAGAAAGCTCACCTCCCCCCCATGTGTCCTAATCCCTGTGAGTGTGCCACACCACCAGACAACACAGGGGACTTTGCAGATGAAATTAAAGTTACTGTCACAGATTACTAGTGTGCCACACCACCAGACAACACAGGGGACTTTGCAGATGAAATTAAAGTTACTGTCACAGACCCAAACCAAACTAGACCAAACCAGACCCTGACCCAAACTAGTCACATGAGCCATTAAAAACCTGAGAAACATCTGACAAGTCAATGTTACTTCCCAGATATACGGACCTCCAAGAGCTATGGTCCATTCTGACTGGCAGCAAGGCAACCCAAACCTTTGTGTTACTATTACAAGGCAACGAATTCAGCCAACAGCTTGAATAAGCCGAGGTAGTCCCCTGGCCAAAGGCTGATCCTGGTACTGAAGACCTAGTAGCTACCCTTCGCAGATATACTTGCTGGCCGATTCCTCAGGCTCTACTCTCCCGAGGAACCCAAATGATTACTTACTTCTCCTCAGGGAGCCCGCTCATCCAAAGGGGAGTCAGCTACAGCGCTGTCATCAGGGAAGGACGTCTCTGATGTCACATCAAGCCGCGCGCAGCACCTAGCGGGCAGAGCCCGGGCCGTGCCCTCCGTGGAGCCCCTACGACAAGACACCCACTCCGCCACGCGGCCCCAAGAGGCGCTGCCGCCGCTCCCAAATTCCCCCAAGTTGCTCCGGGCCGACCCCTCCCTTGAACATCGGGGATATAGGACGAGTGATCAGACAGAAGATTTGCCTGGAGAACTCACCTCCGGCGGAGTCGCGCCCACTGAGTTGCCACGTCACAGAACCAAATAGCATCGACCTAGCTTGGCAGATCCAGGAAGTCCCGCCCTAACTTCCGGCCCGCGTCTCCGCTTCGTCCCCCAAGGCCAAGGTAGTTCCGTTAAATGGCGGAAGGCCCGGGCGACTCGGCGGTAAGGCTGCTGACAAGGGTTCTGAGATTTCCCCGCTCCGCGGATCTAAACCGTCGGCGGACGAGTGCACCGAACACAGTGGCAGCGAAGTCAGAGAGGGCACTACTACCTTTATAAAATAAATGTGGCTGGGGTCCGGGATTTAGCTCAGTGGTTCCGCCGCCTGCCTCACAAACTGGGTTTGAATTTATAATCCTGTTTCAGTGTGCCCGAGGGTTGCTAGGGATTACAGGCATGCACCACCACGCCCATCTTGGATTAATCCACTGATAAGGTCCCAGGCTCCACCTCTTAACAGTGCTGCTTGTAGATCAAACTACCAATACCTGAGTCTTTAGAGAACACAGCATATTTAAACTATAACACTGAAACAGTTGCCCCCATTATCCCCAATGTACTGGTTCCAGGGTGGCCAAGTATATCAAACTCTGAGAAGATTCAAGTACAGCATATTTAAACTATAACACTGAAACAGTTGCCCCCATTATCCCCAATGTACTGGTTCCAGCCAGGGTGGCCAAGTATATCAAACTCTGAGAAGATTCAACTCCCTTATATAAAATGGTACAAAATTTGCACATAACCAAGGCACATCCTCATATATTTTAATCTCTATGATTGATACTACCTAGTTACAATATAATGCTTTAGAAACATGTTATACTGTATTAAAGAAGAACAATAGTCTGCACACAATATAGATGCAATTTTTAAATATTTTTAGTTTGTTTGAATTCAAGATTCTGAAACTTCAGACATAAAAAGCCAGATGTATTCCATTATATTTTAATTCCCTAATATTTTATATATTTTGCTGCTATCGCAGAGGATGTTTTGTTATATTATCTGGTTGTTGCTGGTGCAAAGAGGTGCTGATTCTTTTTCTAACTTCTTAAGACAATGTCTTTAATAACAAAAATATTTATGGCTATTTATTTGTCTCTGAATATACATTTACCCTGGGTCATAAAGATAACCTAGAGAAAGTAACCTAGAGAAACTCTGTTGTTGTTGTTTTTTTTTAAGTGGTGTAGGACTGGGGATTTGGCTCAGTAGTTCCACTGCCTGCCTCACAAGCATAAAAGCCCAAATTCGATCTCCAGTACCATTAAAAAAAAACAAAAAGCAAAAGTGATGTAGCTCAGTGTGAAGGCCCTGGGTTCAATCCCCAGAACTACCCCTCAAAAAACTATTAATCAATTCTTAGCTGACTGGGTTGTTGGAAGGTGGCATCCAGTTAGAAGAAGTAGGTCACTAGTATGCCTCTGAGGAATATTATCTTTTCCCTGGCCCCTTCCCTGATTTTTTCCCTTTTTCTCATCCCCAGTCTGCCACTAGGTGAGCAGCTGTGCTGTACCAGTCCCTTCTGCCTTAATGTTTCTGCCCTGAGGCCAGATATCCATAAACTGAGACCTTTGCAACCTTGAGCCAAAATAACTTGTTCCCTGTTTAAATTATTCAGGTGAAGTATTTTGGTCAAAGCAGCACAAAGCTGACAACACACTAGGATGCATAAAAGAATACTGTTCATCTTTTTAAAAGAAGGAAATAATATCATTCGTGACAGCATGGATAAACCTGGAGGACATTATGTTCACTGAAATACGCCAGCACAAAAAGACAAATACTGCATGATTTGAGTTACATGTTTGTCTTTTCTATCAAAAACTATAAACAGGGCCACCTGCCTTGAAAGCACAAGGACCTGAGTTTGATTCTCGGTACCAAAAAAAAAGATATAAACAGGAATGCTTCTGTTTTAGACTGTAGTCCACCCTAGGTAGCTCTTTCTGAAGACACAGAAATTAGGGGAAACACCTACTCAGTTTAAATTCTAGGAACATAGCTACAGACCAAGAAGCTTATCAATAGCTTATCACTAGCTTATCAATAGCCAAGGACCTTTTGTTACCCACACCTGCTCTTCCTTCCCTTAAAAATCTGGCCTACCAATTCCACAGACCCACCTTTCATGCAGCTTAAACTAGCCAATCAGGACAGACTATGAACCTTCAACCAAGACAATGGAGAGAAAGGTCAGCAGCTTCTCATTCAGTAGGGATAAAATGAGCCTGCTGTGGCTTCCCGTGTGCTTACTTCTTTGACTTAGAGATGTTGTGTACCATTCTGCAGAGATTAAAAAAAAAAAGTAAAAACCCTGCCTTGTCGAGATTGTTTGATGTCTGAGTGCTTCATCATCTGCACCAACACATTGAGTCTGGGGGCTTATTTTCAACAATCTGGCACACAACCATCAGTTTGATTCTGGGGCCTTATTTCTAACATGGCAAATCTTTTTTTTTTTTTTTTTGAGACAGGGTCTCACTATGTGTCGCAAACCTGCGACGCAGAGCACTGTCCCGCAGTGCCTCAAATCTGAAAGAGCAGCGGGGTGGAGATGGGGCAGAGAGAAAGGAAGGATGCCAAGACAAGAGTCTGATCAAGGCGACGTTTATTGCAGGCAGGCATCAGCCTTTTAAAGGAAAAGACCGAACTATTATTGGCTAGGATTACCATAGTAACCTCAATACCTGCTCCTATAGATAACATCAGATCTTTAACATAACAAAATGGAGTTACAACACCTGACTCCTACAGATCTTTGGCTGTCCGTGTTTCTCCTGTGCAGGGTCAAAACAAGTTTTGTAGGAGACCAAATATTCATATTCTCAGAGTTGTTTTTGAGCCTAACATAACCACCTCCATGTTTACATCTGAATCACCTCACTGGCACAGACGTGCCAATGATTGTACTAATGGCCTTGCTCATTTAATGACCTAATCTGTTACATAACAACTGTATCTCATCATAACTGTTACTGTACAATACGTTTCTCCTTTATCATTTTATGATTAGCTACTTCCTCTTACAAATTTGTGGTTTTTGCCTTTATATACTGCTTGTGCCTGCAAATAAACGAGACCTTGACAACTCTTTGCTTGGTCTCCTTCTCTCTGCGCCTCTCTTGTCCCATTTCCAGGTATCTCCCCTTCTCGAGCTCTGCTGATTACTGACCCCGCAGGCCGGGGCAAGTGGCGCCCAACGTGGGGCACGAACCCATGACCCTGAGATTAAGAGTCTCATGCTGTACCGACTGAGCTAGCCGGTAGAACAATGTTGTTTTTATACAAATAAGTCTGGTATTGTTAGGGATAAGATCAAAACCTTACAGGAAGATTTAGAAAAACACAAAAAGGAATTACACAAAAACCCCCTCTAGACTGGGCTCAATGGGTTTCTACCTTATCACCTCCCCTTATTGGGGCCCCTATTAGGGCTCCTGATATTATTAACCATCAGGCCTCTAATATTTAATAGACTTACGGCCTTTATTAAACAACAGATAGATACCATGCAAGCCAAGGCCATCCAAATCCATTACCATCATCTTGATCTGGCCGATCAGGAGGAAAATTATTTACAGGTCCAAACATCTATGGAGACCAGAAAATAAGCCTGACATCTGAGAGGTCCAAAAAGAAAATATTACCAGGTCCTTACAGTCACAGTTACTGGAGGGCCTTGGAATATCCTTGAAGTCTTCTGGAGACTTCTCCTCTCTTGCTACAGTTGACCCCAATGATGGGTAAGACAGTCAACGCCTGACTGATCAACCTAAGACAGGGGCTTCTGTTGAGATGTCAAGGCCATCTCTTCCTCTACCAACTACCCGGCCTCTACTTCTACTCTATGGTTAAAGCCTACTGACAAGATCAGGATACCTGGGATGGTCTTTCTAAACTAATTGGCCTCTGCTCCTGGCTTGCATGATATATATCTCTTCATTTTTTTTTACTGTACAAAGGGAGGAGATGTAGGAGACCAAATATTCATATTCTCAGAGTTGTTTTTGAGCCTAACATAACCACCTCCATGTTTACATCTGAATCACCTCACTGGCACAGACGTGCCAATGATTGTACTAATGGCCTTGCTCATTTAATGACCTAATCTGTTACATAACAACTGTATCTCATCATAACTGTTACTGTACAATACGTTTCTCCTTTATCATTTTATGATTAGCTACTTCCTCTTACAAATTTGTGGTTTTTGCCTTTATATACTGCTTGTGCCTGCAAATAAACGAGACCTTGACAACTCTTTGCTTGGTCTCCTTCTCTCTGCGCCTCTCTTGTTCCATTTCCAGGTATATCCCCTGCTCGAGCTCTGCTGATTACTGACCCCGCGGGCCAGGGCAAAGTTTATCACGTGCAGTCCCTAAAAAGGAACAAATGTTGTCTTTCAAAAAGCCAGTGGCCCATGGCTGGCTTCCCACATATCCCCCTTTTTATTATATTTAGAGCAGGGACTTTCCCTGTTCAGCAGAAAGGCTGTGCCTGTCTTAGGTGAGAAATGTCCAGAGAAATCCCTTACCCATCATCAAGCCATGAGCAGTTTAATACTCATGCTCTGTCTTAGGTTGGATATTTCTCCACAATTCTCTTACCCGTCTTTGACTACCAGCCTCTGCAGGGGTTATACCATGGGTTGTGAAGGCTTGCCATGTAGCTTTTTCTACCTCTA